CCCAGCAGGGTTTGAAGTGTCAGCCCTGCAGCTCAGTGCCCTCAGCCCTGCAGGGCCATCACCAGCCTGGTTCAACCTTAGTTCTCCTGCAGTCCTGCTCCCCGACACTGCTCTCCTGTTTAGCTTCCTTTTGAGCAAAATTTCTGCTTTCCTTTACGTGTTGATCTCTTTAAATCGGTGAAGTTGCCCTCCCTGAGAGCCATTTGCTAACTTGACCTTTTCTGTGTGTTTCTTTCTTGTTTCTGTGTTCTCTTACATGGTTCTGATGGATCACATGGCTGTTGCTGGTGCTGTTTCGTGTGGCCTTCGACCTTGGATGACCATTGGCCTTGTGACCTCAAAATGGTGTCCAACTAACAATTTACAATTAACATCTTTTTTTATTATGATTAACTCGTTTCGGGGCATTTTATCTCTTTTGATTTGTTTTGTTTTTTATTTTTTTTTAATTTTTTTTTCCTTCTTGGGGGTGCTGGTGGGGGGGTTTGTTTTGTTTTCCCTTCCTAGATCATCAAGCCAAGAAGATGAAAACTGCAGAGAAGGGCTTTGGATTAGTGGCCTATGCTGGAGATTCTTCAGATGAAGAGGAGGAACACGGTGGCCATAAAAACGCAAGTACTTTTTCACAGGGCTGGAGTTTGGGGTACCAGTACCCATCCTCACAACAACGAGCTAAACAACAGATGCCTTTCTGGATGGCACCATAAAAACAAAACAAAAAACCCAAAAAACTGCACAAGAGTTTTCATTCATCTGGTTTTCTCCCCCCCTCTAGCAATAATGCATGTATATTCCAGAATGAACTTGGCAAAGAGGCGTTGTTTTTACATTCGCAGAAAAGGCAATTTCCCCTCGGAAGGGCTCCATTGTTTTTTAAAGAAATCTTCATTTTTGGCAGTGTATTTGTCAATTTTAAAAAGGAGTATTTGGAGCAGCATCCTGACTGGCCTAGTCCCTTGTAAAGAGGAACCAGGGAAGCCTCTTGGGCCACATTTTCAGTTCCTCCCAGATAAAGGGAAGAGTCAGTGCCACTGACTTCACTTTGCATTTTTGGAGTGATCTGCTGGTGACTCAGCCTCAATTTTGGATTTTCACCAGAGGGAAGAAACACCCAACAGTCATGAAAAACTTGAGCATCACGTTTGGAAAACTCTTGGTTTTATTTCAGACATCTCCTGTAACTCAGCTTGGTTTTATTTTGAAATGTGACTTTACCAATCCCGCAAGTTCTCATTGTGGCCAGATGTTGGGCTGGGGGATGCTCAGGTTTTTGGATAGGTCCACTTTGCTCCAGGTGGACTTGGCACTGTAGAGCCCTAGTTCTGAATTGTTTCCAGGACTCCAAGTCAGCAGGAATTCCATTTCCAGAGGCTCAGCCCCATCTCCTCCCTCACTCACCGGATTCCACCAGAGCCAGAAGGTTCCACAGTGGTTTCCCAAAGGGCAGCAGCTCCTGCCTCACGTGCAGAACCTGGGAATGAGTTTTTGGACTTGTTTTTGGAGTGTTTTGGACACGAACTGAGTGGGGTGGGCTGCTGCAGCCAGAACTCCTGCATGGAGCAGACACAGGGACTGCTCCAAGGCAGCTTTTGGGACAGGAGTTTTGAGAAGGGGCTGTGTCACTGCTGCACCAGGGATGCCTCACCTGTACAAACCTCGGCTTCCCCATGTGTTGTAAATAATTAGAACCATACTTTCATTATAAATAAATGTATAAATATTCTGCTTCCTGC